GATTTTATTGACAATGCCTCCCCCCCTCAAAAAAAAAAAAAAATCAAAAAAAATTTGGATTATCTAAAAGTAGACAGAAACTGAGAAAGCCAATCAAAAAAACAATAAGCTTCTCAAACGACTTAATGTTCACTCTTTCCTGAAAAATGGACATCTTTGGCCTGAAGAAACTGCTAATAACTCTGTTAAAAACGAGGCTATTTTTTTAAATCTATAAAAGAAATAAATCTTCTATACCACGTAATGCTTCTACTTCTCTTTTTTTTTTCGTTTTTTCAGCAACGCGTATAGAATTTTAACTTTTTATCGCATATAAAGGCCACGTTTAGATGGCAGCAAAACCATTATAGCAGTTTAAAAAAATGCTACATTTTCTTCAACTAAGAAATTTTAAACTGATCTTCAATTATTCCTAAGAAAAAAGTTTAGACTTTTTACACGGAAGGAGAGCCTACCTGCAATTGCCTATTCACAGTCAACGTTTATTTTTGAATATTTTTTTCCACTCCTGAGTAGTACACATCGATGATCAACTACATTACTGAAGCATAATTGGGCAAGGAATTAGGTTTAAAATACTTATTCAAAATCTACAAAGTTTATGGAATACTACCTTATAAAGGAAAACTTCAAACTCCAAACAGATATCTTACGATGGCCTAGTAAGACTTTTTCAGGCTTTTGCTTTTAAAAGACTAAATACAAAAAAAAGCTAATTTTTCTTTGAGAAACTTTTTTAGCATACAGTTCGATAAAAAAGTTGCTCACGAAACGATTCGTCTTTGTTATTATTATTGTTTTTTATGTTCAACTCGTACACAAGGCAGCAGCACTTTAGCAAATAGTAAACAAATTATTACAAACCCTTATTTCTGTGCCAACTCTCTTTCCGTTAAAGCTATACAGAGTTGCTTATACCCTGTAAAACTTGAAGAAGCTTGTAGTTTACTTGGCAACCTCTGAATCACAGAACTTTATGCAGCTGAAAAGCAGATCACCTCTAAATGCTGTTTCCGAGTCAACCACTGTTGCTCAGAAATCTCAACATTAATTTATTAATTGGTTAACAAATGTTGGTCTTAGTCTTGATATAATATAAAAGATTTATTTCCTTTTTTGAGCTTCCGCTTTTCAATAACATAAATGAGCAATTGTTATTTTCCTCTTTAACCTGCTTTCTTTCTTTTACTTTTCTTTTCTTTGAATAAGATTATCTTAAAACGCTGCATTCGCAGTTTCCCAGCGACTGTCGCTACTATGGGCATGCTAGCTAAATCTAGTGATCTAATATACACATAAGTTTGGTGAGTGTAAATGTAAAAGGTCTAAGAAACTAACTGAACCACCTTTTTTTTGAAATGTCATTAAATTTGAGCATTTGACGGGACGGCTATAATTGAGTCATCGCTGAATTCAGTTTTTTGCGCAATACGTAGTGTTCGAAAAAGTGAGACAAAACACAGCTCATCTACCGCGCGCAACTAGCCGAACAAACAGAAAAGGAGAAAAGTAACAAGTTTTTCTAGTAGAAAGTTGTAAAATGCTGCACGGTGTCTAGTTAATTAACTACCACTTTTTCAGTTTTTTTTGCATTTCTAATTTTCCTGTTGCAGGGACAGTGAAGTACATCGAAAAAAATTGACGCGTTGCATCAACTGCTATGCAAATAACCTACATTTTTTTGATGAATACTACTTTAACTGGAGTGTTGCTTCCTCTCAATTCGTTGAAAGAGAAAAAAGACTTCAGCACATGTTCCAAACTTTGTGCAGCAGAACTCTGCCTTGGATTTACATATGATACACATGAAAAATCTTGCGCGATTTTTGCTAGCATTCGTGGTAAAATAGAAAAAAAAGGTTTTGTCTCGTACATTCTTGAAATGCCCACAGATGATGAAAATGCGAGCAGGAAATGTATTCAAGACAATTTCTCCGGTTACGGTTCGTGGAAACATCAGATAATTCTCAAAAATCTTTTATGACTTTTTTGTGAATTAAAAGCTCTTTCATAGTTCTACATCACCACACATTATGGAAGCCAGTAATGGTTTACTTTTCTAGTTCAAGTGCTAGAAAACTTCCAAGTTTGCCGTAGCAGTCCAACAGCAGCTTCTCGACCCGGCGAAGAAAAGAATAAAGAAACAGTCGTTGAGAAAATCACTAAAACAACTTCCTCGGCTCAAAAAGACATCACGAGAAAACCAGTAACAAGTAAGCTTTAATAAATCCAAGTTTTGAAGAGAGCTTAATATATTAGTATTCGATGACAAGAAATTTGGAAAAATTCAAGTTTTTGCACTCGCTTCTTGTTTGCTAGAAAAACAGTGCCTTTTTGCTGGTTTTGCAGAAATTCTCCAGGCTTGCAGTGTATTCCTTGTATATTTTCAACATACACTTTTTGTTATCTTTCAAAAGCAATAATTTTTTTATAATCACTGGCTCATGTATTATTCTACTTTTTAAAACCTCTTCCAAGTTATTTGTTCAATTGTGACATTTATTTGAGCGATTACAGTTGAATGACTTCAAGTTTTAAAGTTGCAGCAAATTAAAGCTTCTGCTACCTAAATTATTTTTCAAACACAGAATTCAGCATTACATTAAAGTCTCACGAAATTTTTCTTATAATGCAAAGTACCGCTAATAAATTGCACAGTGCAGCAAATTCTGATGTAGTTAGTACCAATACTCCAAATGTTTAAAAGCAAAATCCTGTTTTAAGAAATTAATTTAATGCTGTTCTGAGCAGTTAGAACAAAAATTTAACTCTAGACCTGTCAAGCGACAATTATTACAAAAATTGGTCATTAAGAGTTCTTGTCTAGTGAAAGGTTCTTTTTATATCATATTTTTAATAGAACTTTAAGGCTTAACAAGTGGCAGCCAATTTCATACGGTCATATATCCACTTCGAGAACCTTAATCACAATTTTTTAGATAAAAAAGCTGCACTAAAATGTAGAACAACAAACACTTTCTGTCATCTTTGTTGGCTACGCGACACTTTTTTATTTTTCAGTAGACATACAGAAAAAATGTAAAGATGACGATCAGATTCTTTGTCCGGCTGCCAATCCACTCCAATGTGGTACGGATTATCTGCGTAAATATTGCAAGAAGAGCTGTGGATTTTGTTAATCATCAATATTAAACGTGACTTAAAAAGTGCTATAAAAAACGGTTAAACGCTTTTTTCAAAAATGTGTTTTGTTGTCTTCATAGAAATATTAAAAATCGTTGTTCAGGTTAACGTTTTTGTTTACATTTTGACAGCTTAGCAAGAATTTGTCGAAAATTAAAAGTAACAATTTGGAAAATTACTGACAATCGTTGTTTTTTAAAAAAAAGAGTTGTAGAAAGCGATGTATTCATTGTTGACTGAAATTCGCAAAACAACAATGAATAAATTATTAGACTATTCTTTTTGTCATTTATTTCCACTTCTTTAAACAACACGAGAAATCAGATTATGAGTAAACCTGGTATATTTTTTTTCAATCATCAGCGTGTGGAAAGCCTAATCGGAATTAGCAGACCTACGAAAACGGAAAAAAAGCTACCGATGGAAAGTTCAGATACGGTGTCAGAAATCACTATTTAATGCTTGATTAAAGAAAAGAATGAAGTCATCTAGTAATGATACCTAATTCTTTATTTTCTTG